TTCTGAATTCAGCCCTAGTGTATGCTACTGCCCTCAAAATAAAAGGTTATATAATTTTGGTTGTACAAATGTGTGTTAATAACACTGTTCTAACCATGGGTGAATACCCCTTCTAGAATAGCAGAGGAAATTACAGTTTTATAGAATGGCTTTGTTTTTTTTCTAGAGGAAACATTTGAGATGTCACCTGAATATGTCTCAGGAAGAAAGTACACTAAATTCTGCTGCAGTACACCTAGGATTTCTTTTTGTTTGGTTGGTTTTTTGTTTTGTTTTGTTCCAAGTGCCCCGTTCATCTGTGAGCATGAGTGCAGAAAAGTTAAAAATGCCAAATGTCACATAGGCTTCTCTTCAGGTCTTCCCAGTTTTCATTTCAGAGACCTGTGTCTAAATTAACCTTTCGGAGTGATGCGGCGATACCTGTTACTTCTCCCCATGCAGTCCCAGATCGGTTACACGCTGAGCACCGTCGTCCTTTGGCGATTGGGATCGGGGTTCGTTAAATAAGTCATGACTGCAGGAGGGAGTGCGTTGGCCCGTGGCTGTCTCTCTTAAAAGAAAGAGAACGAGCAAGCAAAGCTCCTCTGGAGTGCTAAAAAAACCACAGCCCCTTGGTGCTTTTTATGAAATGTCAGTCTAGGTAATTTAAAACCAAACTTTGCTTCTAGAAAATACAGAAAGCTTAAATTTATCTGAATGTTAGAAGGAAAAAAGAGAAGAGGTGCTGACTTCGTATTCCTGCCTAGAGGAATAATCTGACTCTTAGTTCGTGGCTTCGTTCTGTTTAATAATTGAGGTGCATATTGTCTGACCTTCAGAGTACTTTGCAGGTAGGCCATAGGGAAATGTATTGTGTCACATAATAAATGTTTAAATCTGCTGGACGTAGAGGTCTTAAACAGCCTCCAAAATGGATTTAAACCTGATACTTCTCTTCTGGTTTGTGGTTTTACACACTATGTAATTTTTTTGTTTATTTCTTTAATGTTTCTGAATGCTTTCACTAATTTTAGCATTACAGGGGAAGATTATATTGTATCGGCCAGGAATTACACGGCTGTAGTAAAAGTAAATGTTATTAAATGTTTCTTGCTATTTCTCTGTCGTTTGAAACAGATGATTCACAATTATATGGAGCACTTGGAAAGAACCAAACTTCATCAGCTCACAGGGGGTGATCAGCTAGAATCCACAACACACAGTAGAATTAGGTAAGCTATTTATTACGCTCTCACCCTGAAATGAAAGAAAAAAAATCCATTCATTTGTGTTTGCAAGACTTTGTTCTTTAATCCTACAACAACAGTTCGGCTGAATCGGAAAGATTTGTTGTATGATTGGAATGCGGTAAGAGAATAGTGTAGAAATCAGTAGAAAGAGGCTTTTGCTGCCGTACTGCTAAACACTGAGATCTACTTTGTACGTTAGCCTTAAACAATTTCAGCTTTTTTGAGCGTTTGCGTTTGGGTGAGCGGGGAAAATGTCAGCAGCCGTCCCAAAAATAATTGATATCTTGCCCTGGCTTTGTGTACGCGTTGATGAAGGTGTGTGTCGTGGTGCCTGTTTGTCCTAAGGGCTCGATGGGAATATATTATGCAGATTCTGAAGCTTTCTAGCCTATGAACTCTGCGTGGAAGGAGGAGAGAATAACTCCGGGGCTGGCTGTGGCTCTGCGTTGCTGCATAGATGCTGCGAGGAGCGCGGCGGCTCCCGGCGCGAGGGGGAGGAGAGCGGTGATGTCATTGCTCTGGAGCTGCTGCAGAAGAGTGGAAAGCTGCTGCTGATGGCATTGTTTTTGTGGCAGCGGCTGAATGACAGACTTTGCCTACAAAGATACCCCCTTGGCCCCCGTGTAGCCGCCTTGGTTCCGGCGTTTCACCATGCCAGCGCAGCGCCATGAATCCTGGATGCATGCTGCTATTTGTGTTTGGCTTCGTTGGCGGGGCGGTGGTCATTAACTCGGCGATCTTGGTGTCTCTCTCTGTTTTGCTGCTTGTGCACTTTTCTATTTCCACTGGTGTGCCAGCTCTGACGCAGAACCTACCAAGGATACTCAGGTACTCTGACCTACTGAACCTTGGCTTCATGGGCTCTTTCTTGTTTTCCTCTGCTTTGTGTTTTCCTTTCAAACAGAGCAAGGATAAATTAGAGATGTTAATTGTGTGTACATTTGCAATTCTTTTGTAAACACAGTATTTATGGACTTGGGGTATGGCAGTATATTTTTTTAATGCACTTAAGTTTCATTGCCTTATGTTTAAGCAAGTACAAGGTCAGTTTAGGTGTCTTTTTTAAGAAAGCTATTGCATTGATTTATTGTTACCTGCAAAAAAAGCTGCAATGATAATGTCATGCATTAAAGCTCACGTTCAGTGTATTGTCAGGTACTTGGCTGGCTTGTGTAGCCAGAAGTGTCTGAAGTCTGAGGCCTTGTACTACTAAATTTCACTTTTTTTTAATCAAAGGAATTATGTAAGATCAGTTAACTGCTGGTCTCAAAAGCATAGGAATTAGTTGATCACGTTATTTTATAAAAAAAATCTGATTATTGGTTGGTGGGAAAAAAAAATCTTCCATTATCTAAGCATTACAGCCCTTAAAGCCTATTCACTATTGTTCAGCCAAATGTTATCCTCTCCCCTTGTTCCATACTTGGGTGGCGAGCTGCCAGCTCTGGCTGTCCCCCCTCAAGTTATGTTCTGTTTGTCCTAGTTGCCTGGAGCAGTAGCAGCGATGTGTTAGAATATTGTGACCAAAAGTGATCTTGACACATTCGAGTACCAAAAATTATACGTGGAAAATGACTGGGAAGGCTTTAAAAGGCGGCTTTCTGACCTGAAAATTTGACATTGACTGTGATTGCAAATTTAATACTAAACTTTATTTACGAAGGGAAAAATGATGGAAAAGTGTCCTCTGAAAGAGCTGTCTGACTTTCTCCTTAATCCGTGGTAGTATGTTTTTAACTTTGCTCTCCAAGCACAGAGGGATTGTTGCAAAGGTTCAGAGCAAATGAATTTTAAAAATGCTGGTGTTAATAACTGATAATAAATATATATGAATACTTGAACGCAGTGGAATAAAATAAATTGGAAGTGTAACTGTAGACTTCCCTAGTTAGTAAGGCTGTGCTTGTTTAAAAAGGGATATAAAAACCAAACCCCAAACAAATAACCCCCAACTCTCAAAAGCAAACAAAAAACCCCACAAAACCCAAAATAACAGCAAAGCAAATTATTGAACCTCGTGTGCAGTAAATTGTTAGGTTT